AGTTTGGTGAACAGTAAAACATTCAAGAAGCTGTCTACCGATCGCACTTTTCTTGTTGATAATATTTGTTGCAAGATCACAGTCAAGCATCATATGATGTTCATTAAAAATAACAAGACAATTAAATCAATGTCAACTAAAGAAATAATAGGCGAGCTAAACTGAGTATCTCATATACCTATGCAATATGACAATAGGCCAGCGCCATACGAGTTTTTTAGCTAGCCAGCTTACAAGTCTTACAACGATAAAACAATTATTCACTCTTTTCACTTCTGTTCCGTCATCATGGGGTTTCTGTAAATAAATTCCTTCAAATCTTTCCTCAGGATTATGTTGCTGTGGCACACGATGCAATAAACGTTATTACCGAAGCTTTAAAGGAGAAGCCTTGTTTGTCACTGAATGGAAATGATAGACTCTTACATGATACAGATATGTTTGACTGCATGAGAAAGGTGATAAGTCTGGTCTGAATTATTAATTTCTGTTCATGAAACACAATCGCTTGTCTCTTTTAGTCTATTAATTTTCAAAATTGTCGAAATTATCTTCAGTTTGAAATTTCCGAGTTCAAGTTTTGAGAAGTGTTTTCTTTATTAGTGGATCTTCCGAGTAAGCCACTGTTTAGCGCGTTTAAGTGCAAATTTTTGTTCCAACTGTTTACCACGTGTGGGGGGTATCCTAATGTGCGTTGTTCCTCTAGTACATCACCTGATGGGAATTCTAGGAGAGATCGTAAAAGGGTTGTATCAGCATTCTCAGATTACTCTACCATTTGCATCGACTCCATACAGTTCTTTCGATATCACGGATTACTAGTGGAGTTTATGTGATTTCTAAATAGGAGTTACCTGATCTTTGTATGTGAAGTTTGTTTGTCTTTTCTAAGGTTACATTCAACGGTATGACTGGGTCTGTGCAGTTTGATAACAGGGGAAGGCGAACAGACGTCTCCCTGGAAATCTTAAATCTTCGAAATGATTCTTTCCAAAAGGTAAGATGAAGTTGATCAGATTGAAAAGTATGGGTTTTATCTTATTAGGTTACCCACAGATGCAGTGACTTAGTTTAAATACTTAAAGGAAATACATCAAAATGATAAACCTTCGGTCTGTCAACTTCCATCTCCAGTCCCCTCCTTTTTTCAAAGTTTCACATAAGTTACTATAATTAACACTTTCCAGGCCAGCTCTTCGTATGTTTTTTTTCTTTTTCACTGTAGATTGGTTGTTGGAATTCAACGGAACGAGCAGTTCTTTTTGAAGATCCATTACCAAACACTTTACCAGGATCGTCAAGTAATGGAGAAGTAAAAGGCAGACATTTTAGGATTGTATATGTTGAGGTATTTGTATTAAGAAGATTGCAAGTGCGTTAAAAGGTATTATCATTTACTACGGGAAGTAGCTTAGTGATTGTAGATCGCAATGCCTTACATTCTTTTTCGTTTGTTTATTGTTCTTGTGCAAGAGTGCTAATTGTA